AGTCTCCTGATTTGTTCATTTTGGCCACTCTGACTGGCGTGAGGTGATACCTGAGTGTGGTTTTGATTTGTATTTCCCTGATAAGGAGTGACGCTGAACATCTTTTCATGTGCCTGTTGGCCATCCGGATGTCTTCTTTAGAGAAGTGTCTATTCATGTTTTCTGCCCATTTCTTCACTGGGTTATTTGCTTTTTGGGTGTGGAGTTTGGTGAGTTCTTTATAGATTTTGGATACTAGCCCTTTGTCCGATATGTCATTTGCAAATATCTTTTCCCATTCCGTTGGTTGCCTTTTAGTTTTGTTGGTTGTTTCCTTTGCTGTCAGCACAATTAATTATTAGCTACAGATGCTAACAGTAAAATTAAGTTTAAAAAAATCAAGGACTGAATAGATGACATCCTTAGAGGATGATGAAATCTTAGACTTGCCTTTGAATTAACTTTTTAATAATTTTGAAATTATGTATACATTAAATTTTAGTCCATACTCAATTCATAATTATTTGCACATATGTTTCCACATGGTGGTCTATCTGCATTTTTCTGACCCCATTTGCATGTAAACACAACTATGTGGCTGTTTAACATTTCTTGTGTCTCTTCTCCAGTAATGCTCCCAAAATTTGGTTAGGAAGCCAAATTCCAGTTAGTTAAGTTTGTTTTCTTTACTTTTCGCTTTTGTTTCTCTTACTTTTCTTAATTTAGTAGACACAGGTAATGGAGAAATAGGAAGCTCTTCTTGGTCACTTTGAAAATCTGTGGTTCTGTAATCTAGGTACTTGCATTTCTTTCTCTGTTGGAGAGTGTCCCCGGCCCATAAGTGTTGGAAGGGTTTAGCGATTGGTCCTACTTCTAGGACAGTGGTTCTCAAACTTTGGTGAGCTTGAGGATCTCTTTAAAACAGAGATATCTGTATCTGACCTCTGTACCTCAGATCTGAATCACAGTCTGCATCTGTGAAAATTGTTACTCTGTATTTTTAAAGCTGAGACTGACCTTGGATATTTAGCAGAAGTTAGTTACTCTGCCTTCATCAGATAAGGCAGCCAAGTACCAGTGACCAGATAAAAGGGTGGAATGGAAAAGATGAGGAAGATTTGGAGTTTAGAGAGGGATTTGTTGTCTTTTCTTTTGTCTACCTTTGTGTCATTTGTCTTAAAGTTGGTATCTTCTTTACTGATTTGACAGGAAAATGAAAAAGTTAAAATAAACCAACATAACAAAATGAGGGGGTCAAGGTTAAGTAATCAGCAAAAGAATAGAGACAAGTGTCTTCCAAGTTTTTGTTTTGTTTTGTTTTGTTTTGTTTTGTTTTTTACATTTCTCACTCTTTATACTCCCTCATAGAATAAGCTGAATTATGTGTTTTAAGGGGAAAACTACTCCACCAAAGTATTTCCTTCATGGTACAGATTTGTTCTAAAATCCAGAAAGGTCTGAAATGAATCATATTCATTCATACCTGGTTGTATCTTAATTTGTATTTTCTGTACTTGCAGTTGATTTATCCATGCTGTGTTAAAATTTGATTTTTATGTTGGAGTTACACTGAGTTGTGATCTGCTTCTAATCCTAATATAGCTATGTGACTTTGAACAACTACCTAATCTAGTAGACTCAAGTTCTTCTTCAATAAAAGACAAGATGATATAGTATAGTGGTTAACATTTCTTGGGTTCAAAATAAGCTCTGTGTTTATTGCCTGGTAAGACCTTGGTCTATTTAATTAACCTGTTTGTGTCTCAATTTACTTGTCTAGAAAATAATAATAATAATAGTATTTATCTCAGGGTTGTGAGGAAGAGCAAATCAATAAGTATAACTAAAAAACAAAACAATATTTGGCATATGGTTAGAGCTATAAATATAAAAGTTCTACTCTTTTTGTACCCTCATCTTCTAGCTTTGTACAATGCAAATGATAGGGGCTCAGTAATACTAATTAGATTGCATTGCATTTCCTGAATTCCTTAATGTATATTGTTCATGACAATAGAGAGACAATCATTGCTTAGACTGCAAGTACAATACATGAAGTGTTTCTGATATTTGCTAATGTTTCTTTCTCTTTCTCTCAATGCCAAATTTTTAATTTTCCCAGAGTCAAACAGACGTATTACTGGAGGGGCTATGCAACTATCTTTTACACAGCTAACTATAGATTATTATCCTTATCACAAAGCAGGTATGTATAACAATTTCTTTAACAGACATAAATCTTGCCTTAAAGTTATATAGTCAATTTATCTCATTTCTTTTTGTATTTATTATTTTTTAATTCATTTTATTTTGTATTTATTTTAATTTATGTTTATTTTTTATTATTTTAATAGGTAACATACAGTGTCATATTAGTTTCAGGTGTGCAATATAGTGATTTAACAGCTGCATATATTACTTGGTACTTAGGACAAGTACACTCCTTAATCCCCATCACTTATTTCATGCAACCACCATCCACCCCCTCTCTCATCTCTATAATTAAGAGTCTGTTTCTTAATTTAGCTCTATTTTCCCCCCTTTGCTCCTATGTTTTCTTTCTTAAATTTCACGTGAGTGAAACCATATGGTATTTGTCTTTCTCTGACTGACTTACTTTGCTTAGCATTATACTTTCTAGCTCCATCCATATCCTTGCAAATGACAATATTTCTTTCTCTTTTATGGCTGATAATATTCCATTATGGATTGATACTACATGTTCCTTTATTTATTCATCAATCGATGGATACTTGGGCTGCTACCGTATCTTGGCTTTATCCTTGTATTTTGCAAATTTCACTATGGTATGTCATGGTGTTGACCTGTTTTTGTTGATTTTGAAGGGAGTTCTGTATGCCTCTTGGACTTGGATACCTTTCTTTCCCCAGATTAGGGAAGTTCTCAGCTATAATTTGTTCATATAAAGCTTCTGTCCCTTTCTCTCACTCTTCTTCTGACACTCATATGGTATAGATTTTGTTTTGCTTCGTGGAAACACTTGGTTTTCTAAGTCTCCCCTTGTGTCTAGTAATTTCCCTCTTTTTTTCAGCTTCATTGTTTTCCTAATTTTATCTTCTACTTTGCCTATTCTCTGCTTCTTCAGTCCTTGCTGTCACTGTCTAGTTTATTTTGCATCTCAGTTACAGTATTTCTTAATTCATCATGACTAGTTGTTAGGTCTTTGATCTCTGCAGCAGGGGTTTCTCTGGTGTCTTCTATGCTTTTTTAAAGCCCAGCTAGTTGTCTTATGACTTGTTCTAAATTCTTGTTCAGGTACCTTGTTTATATCTGTTTTAAGCAAATCCCCGGGCTGTGATTTCTTCTTGACCTTTCTTTTGGGGAGAATTCCTCCATTGTGTCATTTGGGCTAAGTTTCTATCTTTGCGTGTTGTAAAAGCTTGTTATGATTCCTGCAGCTGAGCACTACTATATTAAAAAGGGGTCATACACTGTCCAGGGCCTGGTACTCCAGATAGTGTTTCAGGTATATGCTGTGTGTACTTTGCTGTTGTGTTTTGGCAGCTCTTTCCCACTGGTCATTTCTTTGCAGAGCTCTTTGCTTGCAGTGTTGGAGCGTTTAGACCTTTAACTAGGTGTGCTTTGATTTGTTTGTTGAAGTAACCTGGGAAAAAAGAGGTTGGGTGAAGCCTGATTCCATAAAAAGAGAAAAGGAAAGGTAACAAACCCCACAAACAATCAAAAAACTATAAAGCTGATTCCAACAGAAAAGAAAGAAAGAAGAAAAGAAAGAAGAGAAAAGAAAGAAAAGAATAAAAAAGCCTAATTAAAAAAAAAAAAGATAAAAGAAAATGACCAAAAAAAAAAAAAAAAAAAAAAAGAAATCAGAAACTATGATCCTGATTCCAAAAGAAAAAAAAGAGTTGTCTGTTGGTGCCTGGGAGATGGTGGCTGTGATGGTCTGGAGGAGAGGCCAGCTGTGGCTGCCTTGGCTCAGAGTCAGTCCTGCCCCAGAAGATAAGCAGTTGCCAGGCACAGGGTGGGAGGGTGTTCGTGTAGGTGGGTCCCTGCCTCCCCCGGGGACTGCTGTGTTGCTCTCTGAATTCCCACCGTGTTGGTGTTTGGGGGGAAAATGAAGCCACCCAATCTCTCATTCCCGGACTGGGGATCTCAACCCCTGCTATTTAGGCAGCCCTCACAAAGTAGAGAGGGAAGTCAGTTAGCCCTGTGTCAAAACTCTCTTGTGTTTTTCCTTTGGCGTGCAGCTGGGATTCAAAACTGACGGTTTTCTATTCTGTTGCATATATCTGTGCATCCATTTTTGTGCTGGTATCATACTGTTTTGATTACCACAGCTTTGTAATATAACTTGGAAGTCCAGAGTTGTGATCTCTCTAGCTTTGCTTTGCTTTTTCAAGATTGCTTTGGCTATTCGAGGTCTCCTGTAGTCCCCTACAAATTTTAAGATTGTTCTAGTTCTGGGAAAAATACTGTTGGTATTTTTGATAGGGATTGTATTAAATGTGTAGATTGCTTTGGGTAGTATAGACATTTTAACAGTATTTGTTCTTCTAATCCATGAACATGAAATGTATTTCCATTTCTTTGTGTCATCTTCCATTTCTTTCATCATTGTTTTATAGTTTTCAGAGTATAGGTTCTTCACCTCTTTGGTTAAGTTTATTCCTAGGGATCTTACGGTTTTTAGTGCAGTTGTAAATGGGATTGATTCTTTGACTTTTTTTCCTGCTATTCATTATTGGTGTATAGAAATACAAGAGATTTCTGTACATTGATTTTTTTATCCTGAAACTTTATTGGATTCGTTTATCAGTTACAGCAGATTTTGCTGGAGTCTTTTGGGTTTTCTGTATATATTATCATGTCCTCTGCAAATAATGGAAGTTTTACATCTTCCTTACATATTTGGATGCTCTTTATTTCTTTTTGTTGTCTGATGCATGGCTAATACTTCCAGTACTATATTGAATAAACATGGTGAGAGTTGATATCCTTGTTTTGTTCCTGACCTTTCCCCATTAAAAATGTTTGCTGTGGGTGTTTCATATATGTTCATTATGTTGAGGTATGTTCCCTCCAAACCTACTTTGATGAGGGCTTTTTTATAATGAATGGATGTTGTACTGTGTCTAATGCTTTTTCTGCATCTATTGAAATGATCATATAGTTTTTATCCTTTTTCTTATTGATGTGATATTTCACATTGATTGATTTGCAAATATTGAACCACCCTTGCAACCCAGGAATAAGTCCCTACTTTATTGTGCTGAATGGTTTTTCTAATGTATTGTTGAATTCAGTTTGCTAGTATATGGTTGAGGATTTTTACATCTGTGTTCATCAGGGATATTGGTTTGTAGTTCTCTTTTTCACTGGTATCTTTATCTGGTTTTGTTAGCAAGGTAATGCTGGCCTTGTAGAATGAATTTGGAACTTTCCTTCCTTTTCTATTTTTGGGAATAGTTTGGGAAGAATAGGTATTAACTCTTCTTTAATGTTGGTTAGAATTCACCTGTGAAGCCATCTTGTCATGGACTTTTGTTTGTTTGGAGTTTTTTGATTACTGATTCAATTTCTTTGCTGCTTCCAAATTTTCTATTTCTTCCTGCTTGAGTTTTATTAGTTTATATGTTTCTAGGAATTTATCCATTTCTTTTAGGTTGTCCACAATTTGTTGGCATGTAGTGTTTCATAATCTCTTATATTTGTTGTTCTGTGGTCTTGGTTATTTCTACTCTTTCACTTGTGATTTTATTTATTTGAGTCTTGTTTGTTTTTTTCTTGATAAGTCTGGCTAGAAATTTGTCAACTCTATTGATTTTTTTTCTAAAGAAGTAACTCCTGGTTTTATTGATCTGTTCTTTTGTGGTTTTATTGTTTGTTCTTTCCTTTGTTTTTCTGTATCACTTATTTCTGCTCTAATCTTTATTATGTCCTTCCTTCTACTGGTTGGGGTTTTGTTTTTTCTTCTTTTTCCTAGCTCCTTTAGGTGTAAGGTTAGGTTGCCTATTTGAGATTTTTGTTGCTTCTTGAGAATGATCTATTTGTCAATAAACTTCCCTTTTTAGAACTGCTTTTGCTGCATCCCAAAGGTTTTGGGCTGTTGTATTTTCATTTTCATTTGCTTCCATGTACTTTTTAATTTCTTCTTTTATTTTCTGGTTGACCCATTCATTGTTCAGTAGCATGTTATTTAACCTCCATATTTTTATGCTCTTTCCAGATTTTTTCTTGTGGTTGACATCTAGTTTCATAACCTTGTGGTCAGAAAAGATTCATGGTATGACTTCAGTCTTCTTGAATTCATTGAGATCTATTTTGGACAGTATTTCATGTGTACTTGAAAAGAATGTGTATTCTGCTGTTTTAGGATGAAATTTTCTGAATATATCTATTAATTCCATCTGTTCCAGTTTGTCATTCACAGCCATTATTTCTCATTGATTTTCTGTTTACTTGATCTGTCCATTGATGTGTAAGTGGGGTGTTAAAGTCCCCTAGTATTATTGTATTACTATCAATTAGTTCCTTTATTTTTGTAATTAACTGTTTTATGTATTTGGGTGCTACTGTGTTGGCAGCCTAAATATTTATAATTGTTATATCTTCTTGTTAGATTGTCCCCTTTTTGATTGTATAGTGTCCTTCTTTGTCTCTTGTTAAACTCTGATTTGTGTCATATAAGTATTGCTCCTCTGGCTTTTTTTGACATCCATTTGCATGATAGGTGTTTTTCCATCTCTTCACTTTGAATCTGCTGGTGTCCTTAGGTGTAAGATGAGTGTCTTGATGGCAGCATATAGATGTATCTTGTTCTTTTTGTGCATTCTGTCACCCTGTGGCTTTTGATGGAAGTGTTTAGTGCATTTACTTTCAACGTAATTATTTACAGATGTGTATTCATTGTCATTTTATTTTTTTGTGGTCATTTGTGATGATTTTCTCCTATCTTTTTTTGTTTCTCTTTCATGGTTTCCTGATTTTCTTCAGTGATATGTTTGCATTTCTTTATTTTTTCTTTGCGTATTTATTATTGGTTTATGATATGGTTACCATTAGCTTTGTATATAACCTCTTTTGCAGATAGCAATCTATATTAATTTGGTCATTTAGATTTGATCCCATTCTTACTCCTCTCCTCCCCATGCTTTACATATATGTTTTTATATTTTACAGTCTTTTATTTTGTGAGTTCCTTGACTAATTTTTTACAAAAACATTCATTTTTGCTTTTTTTGTTTTTTCTACCTTCAGACTGTCATTTTTGGTTTTTCCTCTCCATTCAGTGTGTTTCCTTTAATATTTCTTGCCGGGCTGGTTTAGTGGTCATGAGCTCCTTTAGTTAAGAGTATTCTCAGCAGATTTTTTCCAATTCGGCACTTTGAATGTATCATACCACTGACATCTTGCTTGGAAAGCCTCTGCTGAAAAATCTCCCGGTAGCCTTATAGGTGTTCCCTTGTAAGTTACTGTTTCCTTGTGTCTTGCTGCTTTAAAATTTTTTTCTTTATCACTATATTTTGTCAGTTTAATTAAAATATGTCTAGGGGTGCCTGGGTGGCGCAGTCGGTTAAGCGTCTGACTTCAGCCAGGTCACGATCTCGCGGTCCGTGAGTTCAAGCCCCGCGTGAGGCTCTGGGCTGATGGCTCAGAGCCTGGAGCCTGTTTCCGATTCTGTCTCTCCCTCTCTCTCTGCCCCTCCCCCGTTCATGCTCTGTCTCTCTCCCAAAAATAAATAAACGTTGAAAAAAAAATTAAAAAAAAAAATGTCTTCATGTGGATCTCTTTTGTTGATTTTGAGAGTTCTCTTTGCCTGCTGGATCTGGATATCTGTTTCCTTTCCTAGATTAGAGAAATTTTTAGCTTTTATTTCTTCAAATAAATTTTCTGCCCCATTCTCTCTCTCTTCTATAATATTATGTTTGATTGAGTCACTGAGTTTCCTAAGTCTGTTCTCATTTTGCATAATTCTTTTTTCTCTCTTTTGTTATGCTTGATTACTTTCCATTAATCTGTCTTCTAGGTCACTAATTTTTTTCCCCTGCTTCTTCCATCCTGCTGCTTATTCCATCAAGTGTATTTCTCATTTTGTTTATTGAGCCCTTTATCTCTGCTATGTCATTCCATATCTCTTTGTTAAGGGTCTCACGAATGTCCTCCTCTTTTCTCAAGTCCAGTGAATATCCTTGTAATCATTACTTTAAATTCTCAATCTGGCTTGTTACTTGTATCTGTTTCTCTTAGATCTCTGGTCATGTCCTGTCCTGTTCTCTCATTTTGTCTAAGTCTCTGTGCCTGTTTCTCTGTGTTAGGAAAGTCAGCTACATCTCCTGTTATTGAGGGTAATGGCCTTATGAAGCAGAGGTCATGGAGTGCCCTGTTTTGTCGTGTCCCCTGTTCCCCAGGTTTTGGTGCTTCTGGGAGTGTCTCCAATATGTGCTGCATGTGCTTTGCTGTTGTTTCCTAGCCACTTTATCCATCAGGCCAGTTGTATGCAGGGGCTCTGTTTGCCTCTCACTGGCGGTGTTTGGTCCCTGGCCTGAATATGGCACATTTTAACTAAGTGTGTTCTGGTCTGCTTGTGAAATGAAGCCTGTCGCCATTGCAGCTGGCACCGAGGCTCTGCAAAACTCCCACATAGGGAGACACAGTGTGAGCAGGGGTTTGGGTTGGTCTTTTGGGGGAGAGGGTCTGCTCTGCTGGGGCTGAGGCAGATTCCACTGGAGTGCATGGAGTGTGGCTTGGTGTAAGTGAGTTAGGTAGCGAATGTCTGCACTAAACTAATTCCCACCAGTTACCCCGTGCTTATTCTGAGGGATGGGGAAGGGAAATGGTGCTGGCTTATTCCTTTCTTCCCAGAGGGGTTTCTTTGTGAACGCTATCTCTCTGGTACACAATACAAGATGAGCAAATACCTTCCCCGGCGTGTGCTCCAGGTGCTCTTCAGATTACTGTTTCCATGCTATATGTTTGCGGGTTGTTTGCCTGACTTCTTCACAAGAGGTGCTCCAGTACCTTCTGAGCTCTCCAAGAGCTAAGCACGCTGACCTTTAAAATTCCAGGCTTTAAGCCCTGCTGGTTGGCAAAAGCCATGACATTGGGTCCCTTTTGCTTTCCAAGTCAACTACTGTGGGGATTTATTTTCCCCATGCACTCCTCTGTGTGTGAGTTTGTCTCTAGCCCTTCTTAGCAACTGTGGCTCCCTCCCCAACATAGCAGCCACCATCCAATCCATTTCTCTCCCAAACCCTGTCACTGCACTTCGTAGCTTCCTTGTTGTGGCCTTTTCTCTACCTTTAGTTGTGGCATTTGTTCTGCCAGTCTTCAGGTCAATTTCTGGGATATTTAGGATGATTTGATGGTAATCTAGTTATATTCATGGGATGAGGTGAGCATAGTCATACTCCACTGGCATTTTTCTTTTCTCTTTAACTTTTTAAGGAAAAAAAGAGACCAAAATATTTGTTATTTTTCCCCAGTAGTATTTCACCAAGAAGATATAATTGCCATAGAAAATATTTATGCATTTTTTAAATTTTTTTTTTCAACGTTTATTTATTTTTGGGACAGAGAGAGACAGAGCATGAACGGGGGAGGGGTAGAGAGAGAGGGAGAGACAGAATCGGAAACAGGCTCCAGGCTCCGAGCCATCAGCCCAGAGCCCGACGCGGGGCTCGAACTCACGGACCGCGAGATCGTGACCTGGCTGAAGTCGGACGCTTAACCGACTGCGCCACCCAGGCGCCCCTGTGCATTTTTATATAGAGTTTTATGTAGATTATTAGGAAGTACAATTGTTAGCAATTGGCAGTACTCTATTGATTTAAATGTTAAAATCAGAATTTGGAGGACATATTTTATGCTATTTTATTTTGTTAATTGTGACAAAAGTTAGTAATATGTTTTGAATTTTAAAAATCAGTATATTATTAGTATATTTTAATATTAAAAACTCAAGAAAGGAAATAAAGTAAAATGATAACAATGATTTCAGCCATGTTGTAGGATTCCAGGAACTTTTTAAAAAACTTTTCTGTGTTTTCTAAATTTCATTAATAGACTTTTTACATGTGATCTTAGCCAAAGGCAGAGCAGTGATACATTAATAGACTTTTTAATAATTAAATATTGATAGGTTTTTTCCTCCCAAATAATAAAAAACAAAATATATAAGCTTATGGCCAAATTAAGTAATTTGACCTTATGCCCATCTCTGCATTTTGGTGATGTATGGATTTTTTTTTTTTAATTAACAAAAACAAGAAAAACAAGTTTAAGGAATTTTCCAGGACTTTAAGGAAGTGATAAAATTTTTCTGTTCACAAATTTATCCTTCTTCTGTTTGTTATTTCTGTGTGTGTGCTTGATGAATTTAAAGGTTATACTATTTGATTTTTGTTTGAAGTCTTTGTTGTATATTCTATATTCCTGATTTGTAAGTTACTTACACATATGTAAAGTTTTTTTAACTACAGAAATAATTCATATTTTGGAAGGTGAAACTTAGTCATAGATTTTTTTTTTTTTTTTTAAGTTTATTTATTTTGAGAGAGTGTGTGTGCACATGAGCAGGGGAGAAGCAGAGAAAGGGGCAGAGAGAGAGGGATGAGTGGAGAGAGAGAATCTCAAGATGCAGATCATGACCTGAGCCGAAATCAAGAATCAGACCCTTAATTGACTGAGCTACCCCGGTGCCACCCAAAGATAGCGTTTCTGGGTGGGCACAATATTTTCTGAACCCTTTTATATACATACTACTTTTCTCAGTTTTTGCTACAGAGAAACCTAATAATCCTAATTTTTTATTTTCCTTCCAAAAATTTTTATGTAGGTATAGATATATCTATATCTTTATGACTTGATGTCCATCTTGAGAAATTTCATTGGTTTCTTAAGTGTTTTAATAATCCTCATCATTTTAAGGATAGGTTTTATTTGTCACTTTACAACAAATCTTTGATGAAAGGACTTCTTTCTGGTAGTATTTTCTGTAGTATTTTGTTTCTAATGGAGGTATGTTTGATACTTGAGCATTCAGTGAAGGTTGACCAGCAGTACTGTTTGTAATTGAAATTTTGAGTCATGTTCTACCGATGGTTGATTTCTGATAGAAACCTCTAGATAACTTCCTTTTGACACTCTTTGCATGTATTCTAAATGTTTTGCTCAAATTTTCTAGGAAGATTAAAATGTCTTGTAGGTGAAGACTGCTCCCTTGAGAAAAAAACCCTTGGGAAATAAATAAATCTCATTAGAAGCATTGCTACAATAAAATAAATGAAAATTGTGCATTTTTCAGTTAAATACCTGTCATTCATTTTACAGGAGATAGTTGTAATCATTGGATGTATTTTAGTGATGCAACCAAAACAAAAAATGGATGGGCCAACGAATTGTTACATGAATTTGAGTGCAACGTTGAAATGCTTAAGCAGGCTGTAAAGGATCATAATGTAGGTTCACCTCCTAAATCCCCAACACATGCCTCTCCCCAGCACACACAAACAGGTATTTTACCTATAACAACATTATGGCATTCCCCTGATAGAGTGAGTGTGTGTGTGTGTGTGTGTGTGTGTGTGTGTGTGTGTGTGTGATCATGATAGGATATTTTCTGTAAATTTTCTGTAAAATTTAATTAATGTCTAAAAATTCTGCACCTTCTTCAGACCATAGGCTTATGGACCAAAAGCACTTTTTAAATTGACATGACCAATAAGAGTAATACCCGTTATAATGTTTGAGATTGTTAAATGGCTGATAGGTCTCTCTTTTTAACAAGAATTTCTGGTAAAAGTTATTGTATAAGAATATCTTAAATGTGGTGTATGACTCGTGTTTAAAGAATAATCACACAAAAGAATAATCATTATAATAACAAATTCCTGCATCAGTTTATATATAAAGTATTTTCACATATATTACTTTGTTTGACAAATTAGAGTTCATGTGTATTTCTAGTAGCTGTCTTAACAGAAAAGTGATTGTTAAAAATCATTTGCCATAAATTGAAAGTTTTTTTCTTCTTTCCCACAGAGAAAGACTCGGCTCTGAAAGGGACTTCCAGATCACCTTCAGTATTATCTCAGCAGTCCAAAGCTAAGTTAATGTCTAGTTCTGTTGTGGTTAGACTTGCAGATTTCAATATATACCAGGTATGATTCATTTTTAATTAAATCTCATGATAAAACATCTTCTGCAAGCAACTCATATTTTGTTTTAAATGTTTATTTATTTATTTTGAGAGACAGTGGGGCAGGGGCAGAGAGAGAGGGAGAGAGAGCATCCCAAGTAGGCTCCGTGCTGTCAGCACAGAGACTGAGGTGAGGCTTAATCCCGCAACTGTGAGATCATGACCTGAGCCAAACTCTTTTTTTTTTTTTTAATTTTTTTTTCAACGTTTTATTTATTTTTGAGACAGAGAGAGACAGAGCATGAACGGGGGAGGGGCAGAGAGAGAGGGAGACACAGAATCGGAAACAGGCTCCAGGCTCTGAGCCATCAGCCCAGAGCCTGACGCGGGGCTCGAACTCACGGACCGTGAGATCCTGACCTGGCTGAAGTCGGACGCTTAACCGACTGCGCCACCGAGGCGCCCCGCCCTGAGCCAAACTCTTAAATGACTAAGCCACCCAGATGCCCCTGCAAGCAACTCTTATAAACTACTGCCACTCTTTTATTTAAAAACATCTTGGCCAGTTTTGTGAAATGGCTAAATTAGACAGGATAGAAGATATCCATTCATTAATTTTTGTTTATATGGTTATACAGAATTAACCAAACTGTGAGGTCAAGAGCATAGTCCTCCAGTCTGCCAAATCTGCACAAGACTTCTCACAGCAACTGTTTGGGAGTCTCCCCTAAGCCACCTTCAGATTCAAGAATTCATTGGAATAAATAATAGAATTCACTGAAATAAGTTATGCTAAGAAGCACATTTATACTAAGAATTACATATATTACAGGGAAGGATATAAATTGGATTCAGCCATAGGAAGAGAACCTGGATTGGGCTAAGAGGGTTCCAAATGTGGAACTTCCTTGTCCTCAGGGCACAAGGAACAATATACATGAAGTATACATAACAATATACATGAAGTATTACCCTCATAGATGAACTCAGTTGTTGTTAGATACCAGGTGACCCAAAGCCTCCAGTGTCTGAAGACTACTAAGACTATTAAGTATGGCCAACCTCACTCTTAGTCATCACTGTAAGCATAAACTGTCAGTTGTCCCAGGGATCTACCATGAATAGGGAATTCTAAGAATTTAGAATTACTTTCCAGAAGCAGGAACAAGGGCCAGACCTCTCTTAGGAGATCACATTCCTTATTACACAATGCTCTTAGTGGAAGAAACTAAAATATTTTTTTGCCTTATTGAACTGAGTATTGGCTATCTTGTGAACATAATTTCATGGCTAAGAATTCTGTCCATTTATATTGTTCAGGCTGTAATCATACAATATGATATAATATTACAGTCCTTGAGACCAACATAATAGACTATAACATTCTTTAAAAATAAACAATTTCAGATAACATGTTATCGTTTATGAATTGTTCTGGTTTATTTTGATGAGTCTATGGCTTTGAGACTTAGTTTTATCTGAAATTTTTTTTATTTTACTCAGTGGTTTTCAACTGGGGTTGATTTTATACCCTAGGGGACATTTGCCAATGTCTGATGACATCTTTGGTTGTCACAACTGGAGGAAGTTGTTGCTGACAAGTAGTGGGTAGAGACCAGTGATGCTGCTAAACATTGTGACAATGCACTGCACATTGTTAGCAGTGCCAAAACCAAGAATAATCTGGCCCCAAATGTCAGTAATGCCAATTTTGAGAAACCTTGATTATGCATTATTATCTTATTGTACAATGGCTTCTTGTTTTACATTCCATATATAATGCATCTTATTTGAAGCTAGAAGATGTAAATAAATTCGTATAGAAATAGCAGAGGTGAATCACCCATAATCCCAAGTAGTTGAGGGTGAAATAAAGTAAAGAAATCCCACATACACAGGGCACCTTGGTGGCTCAGTCGGTTGAGTGTCTGACTTCAGCTCAGGTCATGATCTCACAGTTTGTGAGTTCGAGCCCTGTGTTGGGCTCTGTGCTATCCGTTTAGAGCCTGGAGCCTGCTTCAGATTTTATGTCTGCTCGGGGG